TTCTTTGATTCTTTTGGTTATATCCTTTATTAGCCTCATTAAAATGTGAAGGCTTGAGTTCACACTTTTCTGCAATTATTACCGTAGTGATTGGGCCAAGCATGTAGGTGATTCCTAATGCAATTAATGTTGCACCTATTGCTACAAGTGTGAGGTTCCAATTACTCTTTATCAAATTTATTATTGGTTCCAAATCTGGAACATGGAAACCTTTTACTAATGGCCATGCTGCGATGCAGTGCTCCCCTTCTTGCGACACGATATTTTGGAAGTAATTCTCACGTGGTCTGTCTGTAACTGTCCTTTCAGGGGTGACGTCTTCTCCAAGTGATGCACGAGACCTGTCGTGCGGGCTGAGCAGAACGCGGACGAACACGAAAGCAGGCGACAGGCCTTCGTGACGGGCCGGCTTACGAACACCCCATGTCACATCATCATGTTTAACTATGCCTTAATTCGAGATAATGCTACGGCGTCCGCGGGAGCCGACGCGCACTCGCAAGGCCCGACGAGTGTGAAAAATATGCGAGGGTCCTCGATGCAAGGACGGCATCGGGGGCAACCAGGCTAGTCCGAAAGACGTGCAGTGTCAAAGGCTCGTATTGCGACGCTGAACGTGGGGACGCTGACTGGACGCTCGTACGAGTTTAGCAGGAAGCCCTAGAGCGTAGAAAGATCTGACCTCTGTGCTGTGCAAGAAACGAGATGGGTGCAAGTCGAAAGAGTTAGGTCTCGGCTTCAAAGCCGTTCTTTGTGGCGGGCCGAAAACTACAAGTGGTGTGGCCGTGATCGTGTCTCAGCGATTCCGCGATTCGATCATGAGCGTAGTTCGTTTCGACGACCGTTTGATGAAGATTGTTGTCGCTTTTGAACAACGACTGTACCTTTTCTTCTCCGCTATGCCCACATCACGGATGCTCTGGCAGCCAAAGGACGATTCCGGACTGCTGACGAGAAGACAGCTGAAGTGCCACCAAAAGACGGTATCATTGTAGCCGGCGATTTAAACGGGCACGTGGGCGCTGCAAAAGACGGCTATGCTTGTCATGGCGGATTCGGCTACGGTTCACGGAACGCCGATGGTGAGCGAGTCCTTGAGTATGCAGAGTCGCATAACCTCGTCATTCTGAACACAAGATTCCGTAAACGTGACTCCCATCTCATCACGTTCTACAGCGGGAGTACTAAGACACAAATAGACTTCGTACTCATCAGCGCAAAGATAGTAGCCGTAACGAAAACGTTCACGCAGCACCGCCCACTGATCTGCACGCTCAGACTCGTAGCTCCCAGGCGGAGACAGGTAGCTGAACGAAGCGGTCCTGAAAGAATCAAGTGGTGGCGGCTGAAAGAGCGGGAGGCAGCTGTGATTTCTCGTATTCGACTACCTGAAGTCACAACTGTTCAGGAGACCTGGAACGAAGCCGTTAATTCTATAATCCAGGCCGCCCGCTCCGAACTCGGCACAACGAAGCCTGGACGGCGGAGGATTGACAAAGACGCGTGGCTCTGGACGGATGATGTCAAAGCGAAGGTTCGAGAAAAGAAGAGGCTCTATCACGCGTTTCTCGAGCAGAAGTCGGCTGACAGCTGGCGCACTGATCGCGAAGGCCGAGATAAGGCAAAGACGGCCGTGGCTGCTGCGAAGGCCGCTCACTTCGATGATATCAGCAAGAAGCTGGAGACGCGCGACGGTGAGCGGTACCTGTACGGACTTGCCAAGTCTCTCATCGCCAAACCGAAGACATTGAGAAGTTCTTTGGCATAAGTGATGAGAATGGGCAACTTCTGATGGACCGAGGAAGGGTATTGCAACGATGGCGTGAATACTTCGAGGGCATCTCAACCGTGGAATTCGCCCATCCCGCTATACCCTGTACCGCACCAACATATGGCCCCGTTCAGAGGATTACCGTACAGGAAACCGAAGCTGCTCTGAGGAAGATGAAGGCCGGCAAAGCAACAGGCCCCGACGACATCGCAGCTGATTTGTGGAAGTCAACGCGGTTCCTGGTCGGTTGACGAAACTCTTCACCCCACCAGATCGTCGAAGAAGTATAGAGGTGGCTAAGGACTGGCAAGCAGAGCGTAACGAATGCCGATTTGAGAAGAAGGCAACCCGGCAGCCGTGCTCGACTACGCGTCCATTCGCGCCTTCCTCGCTACACTATGATAATCTTCGAGCGAATTGTTGACGCCCGTGTTCGTGATATCGTCCAGCTTTCCACCAACCAGTGTGGCTTCGTGGCGGGTTGTAGCACCGTCGACGCCATACATGCCGCTCGCCTATTGCTGGAGAAACACCGTGAGAAGCGAAAGCCCGTGCATGTAGCCTTCCTAGACCTGGAGAAGGCCTTCGATCGTGTGCCACGTGACGTTATATGAGGCGGCATGGCGTGCCCGAAGAGCTAATCGAGTGGGTGCGCATCCTTTACTCATGCCCAGGGAGTCAAGTTCGGCTCACCGGGTGTTTCAATGGAGTTCCCCATACCGTCGGGGTACATCAAGGCTCTGCGCTCTTCAACCATTCTATTTCGGTTGCTGTTCATGGATGCCATATCACAAGTATCTCAAAGAAGTGCCCCCTGACCTGCTTTACCTCATGAATGTGAACTCTGCTTGTGAAGAATAGAGCGCACTGGAACAGCAGGTGCAAGCTTGGGCCGAGCGTCTGGCGAGGTTTGGACTCAGGTTGAACGTCAACAAGACCGAGTACCTGACCACCGACCCAAATGAGCAGGGCTCCATTAAAATCGATGACACGGTGCTCAAGCGCACGGAAACATTCAAGTATCTCGGATCAGCACTTGCGTCCGATGGCAGTCTGAACTCGGAAGTGAGCGCACGAGTGAGTGCGGCATGGTCTAAGTGGCGATCCATGTCTGGGATCCTTTGCGACAAGAGAATGCCAGAGCGCCTCAAGTCAAAAATCTATCGTACTGTCGTCCGACCTGTCGCGTTATATGGTGCCGAGTGGGCCTGCGACCAAAGAAGTTGAGGCTCGCCTTGGTGTGATGGAAATGAAGATGCTGCGCTGGACGGCGGGCGTCACGCGAGCGGACCGCATTTGTAACGATGTCGTGCGCAAGAAGTATGGTGTAGCCCCATAGCAGAGAAATTGCGCGAAACGCGCCTTCGATGGTACGGGCACGTACTTCGCGCGAAGGCTGACACCGTCCGTAAAATTGCTCTCGAACTCGAGGTACCAGGAAAGCGGCCAAAGGGACGTCCCAAACAGCGCTGGCTCGACACACTGCATACCGACTTAAAATTAGCCGGCATTCACCCCGATCAGGCATTCAATCGGGAAAAATGGCGTAGTTATATCAAAAGAGCGGACACCGCCCGCCCCCCATCCAAGGGGCGGGACAAACGCGAAGAAGAAGAAAAAGTGTAAATGTCATTTCAGGTTCCAAGGATAGTTCCTTCTTATGTATATCAGCAAAAGTATTTTGTGCGATGCGGAGATTATCAAATTGTAGTGCGAATTTTGATGTTTCGATAGGAGGAATCGCACTCCGTAAATGTGCCATATTCGCTACTGGGATTGATGGTGGATTCGAGTGCTGTAGTGCAATATGCTCTGAGTTCAGCTCCCTCTTGGCAGTTGTAGCACCCCATCACGGTGCTGAGCTCCACTGAACATTGTTGTTCTATGACGAATTCCGCACTATTGATTAGTAAGCTTGACTTGATGGCAAGGATTACTTCGCTCTTCGTGGAGTGGGCGTAAATCTGCTATTGCACAGCTAGATCTTAAGACAGCCACCGTCACAGATGAAGATCTTAAATGCCATTATTTGTTCTAAGGTTTTTGCATCACTCTTAGGCAATCGTGTATGTCATTTTGGCTTCTGTTCTGTTCCGCGAACAACAAGCTGCCATTTCAGCCCTATTCTTTCTTTATTGTTTGAATTAAAGCTCTACCTGAACTTCTAATTTTTTTCAACCAATGTACCTGTAACCAGTGAGCGTTTGGTCCTTGTTGGTCTTGATCTCTACACCTGCATAACTGCATCCGTCAACAGAAAGGCCTTTTGTGAAATTCACTAATTTCACTTCGATTTCGGTTCCTTCAGGAGACTGCAAAAGACGAGGCAATTATAACTAGTGGCCGACTGAGAAGTGTCACTGCTGGACACTCAGGGAGGAGTTATTAATGATCGCTCTTTCACTGAGCTCCCGCTATTCGGAGTTTACGGTGAGCATACGATCAAAATACTGACCTGCTAACTTTTTGAGGGTATAAAACTCACTTCAATCCAGTAGTGACATGTCTCAAAGTCTTCTTGCTCATCACATCACGGCCAAGGCCGACAGTATTCTCAAGTCTCGTCCAATTACTCGAAGCTTTAATTGTATCGCCACACCCTGATGATGGCTAAAGCAAACACTTTTTGCACCTATGCCGTTTGTATCTGATTCCTAGCTCACTCTCTCAGTGCACCGCTTTCCGGCATAACCACCGGGGCAGATGCATTTTTGGCAGTCTCGAGGATGAGGAAATCAGCGCCATTTCGCATGTTGGACGCGAGATGTAGTTTTGTTTACCAATTTTTTGGGAATTGATAACCAAGGCCGATAAGGGAAGAGAAAGTATTTCATGTTGGTGGACACGGTTCAAATTGGTTATCATTCGCCACTTTGCGTGTTTAACGATGGTGGAGGCAGGCTGAGATGAGTAGCGCTAACAAATGCGGCATCACGCGATGCGCGAGTCTCACAGCGCACAATCATGAGACGGCAACTGCCCGTTATTACCTGCTGCAGCCATTTATAGAGACTAACCGAACGTGAGGGAAGGCCAACAATTAAAATTTTTTCCCATAGTTAGGTGTATGCATGGTTGCGCGGGAGCTTGCCTGTGAAAGTAGTTTGGAACGGCATCTGGTAATCACTTTGGCGCACTTTCGACTGACGGAAGTGGTGGAACACTTCTACAGCTGCGCACCTATTTAACAGCACTTGCAGGATTATGATCTTCAAATGTGAGCAAAAGGTATTTCGCAGGTGGCTGTCAAACCTTTGCATCCGTAGTGTTCATTAAGCATTGAAAGCTCGATGAAAGAAATGAATGGAGACCCAAGCGTTTGCTGATAGTCGATATCGAATGGAACCATTGTTGGCTTTTTGCTTAAACGATGCACTGAACAATAGTGAAGTCAACAACTAGCTATGATTACCAGCACTGCATATCCGATACTATCAAAACTTGTCGCGAATGTTGTTATAACGATTATATCACCGAAGCGTCATGGTTTATGAAGTGAAACATTGGTTTGATTCCTTCCTTCCAAACATACCTAGTTCCACCGTAGTGCATAATGCTGCCGTAATCGTATGTCATGTTGTAGTTGTCGTTTGTTTTCGTTGTTTCTTTGTTGAATTGACTTAGCCAGTCCACCTGAAAGTGTGATCGCTGTCCGTACAACAGCCATTTCGTCGGAATTATTCTTTTCGCTTGGATAGTCGACCGACAAATGATGAATTTTCGGCAAGCTTACATAAGACTCCCTGTATATTGTATACTGTTCGTATATTTGTCGTTTTTGTAGACTGTTGGAATTCTAGTACGTTTGTAGTGCGGCTCCAAAAAGTGTTCGGAACATCCTTCCGTAATCGGTCATTCAAGTTCTCAAGGTAGTGTGCAAAAGCTGCAGAACACCTGACGCTTTCAGTATTGTAACGAATTTGCTTCAGATCCCGTTGCACCACATTATAATGATCTTCCACAACTTGCTACCTTCAAAAAATGTGAATTTCTCCCTGCTTAAGTCAACACAATTTGGGCCCATTCCTGTTACAGGCTTGCAGCGCGTCACTTCAGGAGTGTCTGATAGTATGAGCGTGCACCGTCGCTCGCGATCGTCGATCCACTGATGCGGCATAATGCATTTCAATGTTCGAGACTGTGAAAGGTCAGTGGTGTTCTGCCCAGAGCTCAAACATTTCATGCAAATTGAGAGCGCGTTGAAGGTGAGTCGAGCAATAACGTGGTCTTTCCAGAGTTAGTGAACCAGCGATCTGCTTTGGAAAAAGCAATGCGGAGCTAGCATGAACCGTTAGCAAAGCTGCTGGGGGATATGAATCTAATTAGTAATAATCAGCGTAAACTGGCAGTCTTGACAAGTGGCGTCAAAATCAATAGATGTGCGTTTTTCCACACAGAACGAATGTCGCTCACACATCGCAGCAATGGGGTAGCTAATCACAGTAGTGAAACTTCACTAATACTGCAAGGTGCTGGTCCTGTTTCCGTAACACGGTGGTGCAGAAATAATAGAAGAACCGATTATAAAACCTCGGTTGTAAAACCATGTGATAGGGGCACTGGCGAACACTTACTTTGATGTTGTGCTTGTTCACCGTGATGAAGTCGTCGCGATCGTGTCGAGACCAGCTTGTACCCTGGAAAAATCCAAGCGTGACCAAGCTCGTGCGCAGCGATGGATACCGTTTCACAACCACTTCCTAGTGACAGCTTCTGTTCACCGCCGAGTTTTCCGACGTAAGGACCAACATCCATCCTCCGGGAATACCATAATTCGATCTTTGGCTGAAACAACAAACTCTCATGGTGAATTCCGAATGCTGAAAGGGCCCGACACTGTGATCAGCCCAGCAAAAAAAATAACATCTCTCTAAATTTCAGTATCATCTTACCGAATGGGTTTCGTGTGAAATTGATGCAAGTATCCTGTTCCCATAGCTTCGCTCCTTTTTCAAACGAACTTCTCATCTGCCTGCCTTCAATGATCACATTGTTTGCATTTTGCCCATTTTCCAACAAGCGCTACATTTTTACACATACTTGCGAGCTTATGGAAGTAATAATTCACTCCTTCTGACCATAGCATATTTGGATATCTATGATCCTTGAACGGCTTGCCTTCTGCGCGATTTCAGCCAGCAAGGCTCATCTTCTATATCTTGCACAATCTCCTCGGCTTGCTCCCTTCAACGGCGATGGATAAGGAAGTTACGAGATATTACTAGGTGTTGATTAATCGACATACTCTGTTAGCACCATGTCGCTCTGGTAGAGATCCTGGCCAACCTGACTGTATTCGTTGACCCTCAGTGATGGAGTCTCCTTTCTCTGCGACTTTATCCTTCTTGATGGGTCGCAATCTCTGTAAAATTCAATCCATTGTAAGTTGTACACTTATTAACCTACTAGACGGTTTTTCACCCAAAGATGTGGAGAATGTTGAGAAGTTTTGTCCTTTTGCCAGAATTTTGGAAGTTCTATGGCCTTCTGTCGTAGAGAAGTAAACTGTCAATGTTACCTTCAACCTTTCCTCGAGCGATTTCATCATTTTTGGTGTTAACTCCAATGTCTTCAAAACCTTGTCCTTCATACTTCTGATCTTGTCGCGGATTTTGAACAGTGCCGTGTTTTCGAAGAGCTGTAATTGTATGAGTAGGAAAGCAGAAAGGTCTGTTAGAAATTCAGCCATATGTCTACTGAACTTGGAGACGGCAAAATGAAAAACTGAGACGAATTCGATACAGAGCATCAAAAGACAGAAAGGAAAAGGGAACCTTCTTGAATCCAACGATAGTTGCATTCTTTAGTTTCTCTCCGAAACTGCCTTCACCGGAAAACACTCCTTTCACTTTGTCTACAATGCCTCCATCGGCAGCGGCAATCAAGAATAAGGTGAGCAATATCAGCCTCATTCTGAATTGCGAAAACTATTTGCTGTACTATTAGCTTCAACTCCCTTGGGCCTAGCGGGCAAAATTTGGGTTCTCCGCTGCCAAGTCTTGGTATTCTGTTTCTTTCCGCGATACTGGAATTTGGTTAGTTTGTAATATAATTTTTGGATAGTAGACAAAAGAAAACGAATACAGGACAGCTTATCAAGTGCGGGTATTCACAAGCATCGAAATCGGCACGAAGTTTGTTCAAGAGCTATCGCTTGGGATACGCGCTTGTTATGTTTCTCATCACTTATTGTTGGTAATCACCTGGAGATAGACTGCACACTCACGTGGGCGTTCAATCCTTGTCACGTGAGAAGCAAGTTGACTGGCGCGTGCCGCTTTTTCTCACGTCAAAACAGTGCATGGGAACGGGTTATAAAGTCTTCGTACTAGAGTGGTGCCTCCATTCTCCGTCCGGGTCATCCTCAAACTGCAGCTTACATCAATGCCAAGGTCTTTCAAGACACGTATTCGGTGGTACAGAACAACCAGAAGTGAAGGCGCAGACAAGTAGCGCTTTTGGCTATGGCTAGGTGTCTTAATGGCTGTGCGGCAGCGCGAGGCGTAGTATGGAGTCGGCAGTGTATCGCTACCCTTCAGCCCCGTGTCCATGCATTTTTGGCGGAGAAAGAGGCACGCTGCTGATGCAAACCCATTATTCTAACGCACGCCAAGAACCAGGGTCCACGGAACTGAAATACAATTTGTTTTGGCATTACTTTTTCCGGTGTAACTTCAACAGTGGGTTATAGTAGTCATAGTTTAGTCACAAGGGTTTCAGGTGTGTTTATCTGTCACCCAACATCTGTCCTTATCCTGGCCATGTCCTTTGCCATTTGGCACGGTGCAAGCTGCGCCAATCTACAAAACGCCGAATCAATGACCTTTCTAACACCTGTTATCATGCCGTATCAGTTACTACCACTTTCTATCAGTTCCCATCAGTATCTACGATCTGCTATCATTTGTTGGAAATAATCTAGCCGTTTTTGGGACGTTCATTATGAATTTGTGCCAGCCGCTCACTGACACGCCTTGCCAGCCCTTATCAATTGTTGTCGTTTTCTGTCATCCACCACTAGTGTCCTTGACCTACCCCCATACCTCTTCTTAGAACCAATTCCTCATCGTTGCTACAACGTGCTCTGACGCACACAAACAGACATATGTACAGGGTGGCGAATAATTACGTGCGCGTGACATTTGACTTCGTTTTAATTATTGTATAAAGCATTTATGCATACTTTTTCTTTTTTATTTTATTCATTTGTTGCTTATTATTGGTTTATAGGGAGAAAAAATTGTTTTCCAGACTATGACGAAGGCCTGCCCAAGTCGT